GTGAGCCACAAGCTAAATAATTTGTCTTTGTAGAATAGCTTAGCTCTATTCATGTCATCCCAGTTCTTACTGTTTTTCTTTTTCTTTTTTTTCCCTTTAAGTCAAGTGTCTTGTTGTTTATTTTATTTAATTTTTCACAGCTGATTAATAGGACAGTTTTGATAATCAATACATTGTACATTGTTATCTTCTTAGTGGTTATCCATAGTACAAGAAGCAGACAGGATATTCTGTCCAGACACTGTTAGTACACCTCTTTCTTCTCATTGAATTAAGCGAAAGTAGCTGTAAATTTATCCTATTTTGTATGTATAAATACAAAATGATCTTTCCTTTGTATCCTTTTTTTTTTTTTTTTTGTCCTGTCAGAGGTGAATATTCTATTGGCATCTAAATATTATAGGTGTTTGAATTCAACTAAACAATCTAACACTGTCTAGCAGTCTATAATATTAGTGGGCTATCCTCAGAAGTTATTGATTTGAACCTTTTACAGCTCATCGTATTAATATGGCTTTACTTTGTATACCTCGTTTTTATACTTTTCTGCTGGATGGTTAAGACCAAGATATAGCAAGACCTATATAACAAGAAATCTTACTCTGTTTTTAAGTGGAACACATTTCATGCAGATTCCAGGAGCCCCAGCATCCTTGATGCTGCTCCTGGAGGTGTAGGATATCAGAGAGGAAAGGGCCCAGCAAACCATCCTCTCTTGTCCCTGTCCTTCTCCTCCCCCTTCTGGTCAATCCCTGTATGGCCTTCCTTGGCCCCTTATTTCTAGAAGAAAGGATTTGGATTAAGTTGCTGTCTTCAGACCTCCTTTGTCCAGTCCTGACATCCCATGGCTGACTGATAGCTGGACTTGCCATTTGAGGTGTATTTAGAAACAGACAATAGGAAACCAAGATAAGATTTTAATATTTATCCATAAAAGAGGTTAATTGAAATTGTGTTTAGATTTGGTACAGGGTCTCACTACTTGGACTCATAGTAATCCTCATGTTTTCAGCCTCCCCAGCACTGAGATTACAGCTGTGTGCCACTACACCCAGACTCAGTGGCCAGCTCAGCACAACCCGGGGGCAGGGCTGGTGCGGCATGTGGTGCCAAGGATTGAACACAGGTCCCTGCACTTGCTTAAGCAGGCACTTTGTCCACTGAGCTATCTCACTGGCCATAGCTAGCTATTAATGCATTTAATTATATTGGGATTCTGAGAACTCCAGAATTTTAATGTTTAGTAACCAACCATAGTGAGGTGAGCACCACACCTGCTTTGTGGCCTGCACAGTGTGCCCAGGATCCTGGGACCACATGGCGTGCTATACTAGGGATGGAACCCGGGTCCTTGTGCTTGCCAGGCAAGCACTTAGACCACTGAGCTATCTCCCCAGCGTAAAAGACATGTTTAGATCTGGGTAATTTTATCTGTCTTTATTGGTGATACATTACTGTAAAAGAAAGTCTACCTATTTTATTATTCCTCTCATGATAGAGTCTTAGTCTTGCTCCAGCTAGCTTAGGGGAAGAGGAATACTTACTTTTAAGAATACCTAGATATCTCAGATATTTCTTGAGTAATTAGAACTAGGAGTTGAAAGCCATTAGAAACTAAGGCATCAACTATATGCTTCTCAGCATGGCAGCCTTTTTGGAGTTCATACAACTACTCTCAGGTTTGATGATTCAGTTGTGGGAATTACAGAATCTGAAATATATTCATACTCATGTCTGTGACTTACTATAATAGAAAGAAAATCAGTACAAGGAAAAGGATGTGTGGGCAAGGTGCAGGTCAATTGTCTGCCCTGAAAGACCTCACCCAGTAAAAGTCATGCAAATCACACTTCATTTCTCCACCAAAGTATGAGTGGTGAAAACACATGTTGGCAAGCAGGTAAGCACAGAGTTTTTTTATTTTTATTTTTTTTTTAAATGTATTTAGTATAGGATCTGCAGGGTCTCACTACACAGATCAGACTCATAGTGATCCACCTGTTTTCAGCCTCTCAAGAGCTGGGATTACAGACACGTGTGCCACCATGTTCAATCTCAATCACCATTTCAGTTTGCCCTGGAGGCGGGTTCAGCATGGCAGGCCAGGGATCGAGATCCGGTCCCTGCATGTGCCTAAACAGATGCTTTAATCCGCTGAGCTCTCTGGCCATCCCCTAGCACAGAGATTTTTGAGGACTGCTCATGAGGTTATATACCAAATTTGAAACTCAACAAAGAAAGCAAGTGCTTATCATAGACTACATTGTGCAGACAACTTAGGCCCAGTGTGTACTCTTATCAGTTAGGGCAGTTGGAGCAAACCTGTGGCACATGTGCTATGGCAGGCTATTTGTATCACTGAAAGTTCTAAAAGATTCACCATTGCTGAGTTAGGAAATGGTGAGAAACCTCTCTGAAACAAGTTTCCCGAACCAAGGGCAGTAAGATCTGCTTCATGTTCTCTATCTTGAACAGCAGATATGTGGCCCACCTTTAGGTTAGCTACTAGCTGTGATAAACTGGCTTATTGAGTATATTCCCACTCCAAATTCTTGAGAGAATTAGCCCAGCTTGAGTTCAGTATCCACCCTGATCTACCCCTCAGAGAAATAGGTCAAGTGACAACATGGATATTAGGGACTCTTCCTGTTTATAGAGATGAATGGTTTGTCTGGGAGTTCAGAAGACATTTTAAGAGCCATGGAGATGCATGTGTGGAAAGTTTCTCAGACTGTGGACTTCAACTTGCAGAGGTCATCTTAGGAAGGTCATTGTAGAGTGGTAGAGAACACGTAGTACCTGAGTGGGTCACTGAAATGCCCTAGTTTTTAAATCAGAGTTAGGTCCCATTTCTCTGAGTAAAGTAGGGAGGTAGAGAGGCATGTAGGTGTTAAGTTGCATGGAAGCAGCAAATGACTAAGAGATTTTAAGTGCTTTGCAATACTTGAGTCTTAGTACATTTGTCTTTGGGATTCTATTTGGACCCAGTTGGAGTTCATGAAAATGACCTGATCCATCCCTAAGACTGTACATGCTATACAAGAAAAGCAAATTTTTCTATAATCCGTTTCTATAATACTAAACTTTTTAATACTATCTAGGTAAAACTTTCAGTTTAGACTACTAAAGCTTCTACTTTTAGCCTTCCTGTGTTTGAATAACTCTTAATGTCAGTTACTACAAGAAGCTGTAATATTTTATGAAACATTTCGAGTCACAAATTATCTTTTATCTGTTGGTGTACTGTTGGGGTGACATCAGGTGGCTCCTATAATTGAAAGATTGTAAGTGTTTTCCACAAAAAAAAAAAATTAATGGAAACCTTGTCAAGTCTGTGGCCCATTAGGAAAGTGTTTTCAGTTTCCTTCAGTCATTGGGAAATTACCACAGAAGTGTCATCATACCTCTTGACATCATTTCTGACTTAATGCATAATAGGTTAATGTTCAGTTAATTTAAGAAAAGCATGCATTTGTGCATATACAGATGCTCTGTGTATGTAATTTAAAATTGATTGCTTCTAGGCAAACCTTCATTTTCCTTTTGTTATGGTTCCCAAGTGTATCCTTACCTGAAGTTAGGTCAAAGATAGTCATACCACCTCCATGCAACCTAGTAGACATAGCCTGTGGCTATTGTCCTTGTGTGTCATGGGGCCTACTGGTCTGCTTGGTGCTCACCTCTTTGTTTTGGACTGAATTGGCTTATTACCTGCAAGGGGATCCATCTAAAACTCAGTGATGCACCTTCTAGCCCTTAATTTCTCTCTTTAATCCTCAGTCTAGTGTTTTCTTTTTCATTTTAAGTATCTCTGAGATACAAATACAAAGCAGTTATTTTAGACAAGATAGGATTTTATACCTCTCCATCACTGGACACCAGTACTGGGGAGGGGATCCAGAGGCTTGTGAGTACTAGGCAAGCACTCTACCACTGGGTGACACTCTCAGCCTCTGAGGACAGGATAGTTAAGGAAATGAGAAGTGTTTCCTTATCAGTCTAAAAACTATATGTGATGAATAGGAAAACATTTTCTAAGCCCCATACCATTTAGCCAGAAGAGTTCTGAAAACTGAAATGAATCCATTTACAGGGCATGAATTGTAGGGGGGAAAAACCCTTCCTCATACTCTATACTAGATTTGCCCACTGTGGTTTCAGGGTGCCCAAGGTGCCCAGAGGCTGCAAAAGAAATTACCTCTTTTCAGGAAACCTATTCTTTATATTCTCTACAGTGAACTACTATTCTGTCAGTGGTTGATGGACTAGTGGATCTCCAAAAGCAGGTCTCTAGGAAAGAAAATGCAAAATGCAATGTCATTAGGTTATTACAGGCTTCTCTGTTCCCTGTTTGAATCCTTAAAGTTAATGCCCCTGCTGTGACAACCAGTGCGGCTTAACAACCAGTGAGGGCACTGGAGGCTGACCACTAAGTGCAGATTGACTGTAGATGGCAGGGTGAGAAGCATCTCTTTATAGAGATGAACTGTGAGCTCTGCTAGCCTTCCTGAGTGCCAGGGTGCTACTGAGTGTTCCAGAGGGCCTGCCAGACCTAAGCCCAGGCCTTTTCCCCAACATTCTGTTTGCAGAGCAACAGATCTCTGATTAATGTCATCTGTCCTGTTAGATGCTGTTACAGACATTACTTGTGCATCACTCATAAGAAACAGCCTTTTTGAGTCTGGTTAGTATTAAAATAAATAGCCCTATTATTTGTTAATTATCATGAACTATTAGACACAAACAAGTTTTATGAGATTTACTGATATTTTATTGTTAATAGAAATGTTATTCCTTAATGAGAGTGCTATTAAGTGGAAATTCCCACCAGATTCAAACCTGCATTTGGGTGGATCTTGTATTATATTTCATAAATGAGCAACTAGGTATGCTGGTTGGTGGAAGGATGGGACCATGACACAGAGGATCAGTCCTCAGCAGCTTGCCAGGGGTTGGCATGCAAATATGTAACATTTCTGTTCCATTTTTTGTTTTCACAGTGAGAGAAAAACGCAAGAGTCTCTTCATTAACCATGTAAGTGAAGCTGTCTCTCTGTGTTTTTCACGATAACTGTATAGTGTAAAGAGCTTGAATAGCTTTGTCTTCGATGAGTAAGATGCTTCATGTATTGTGTCAGCACTTAGAAGAATGTTGCCTTGTACTCATGCTCCATTGGGCTTGTAATTGGACAAAAATCCCTTGATGTTCATCTATGCCAAAGGTTTTTCCAGATTCCCTGGACTGCTGTTTAATAGGAAGATTAGTGTAAACAGTGCCATAGTGTAAACAGTATCACATAGGTCCAAATGAAAGCCACTTTATTTTAACTCAGATCCATTCTTCATACTCACTTCCAAATCTTTGTTTCCTAGTAGCTCATTTTAATTTCAGTAAACATAGAGTCATTTCCATTAGCAGCTATCCACCTCCTCACTTGCTTTTCTCTATGGAATTCCTGTTTGAAAGTCCACTAGCATCTGCATATTCTTTTGGTGCTCAGAGAAGGATAAACTTAACAGTTGAAAAAGATTTTTCAGGGGCCAGGGAGATAGCTCAGTAGAATAAGTGCCTGCCTGGCAAGCGCGAGGTCCTGAGTTCAATCCCGGTACCACCACACACACAAAAAAAATCTCAAAAAGTCACCTCTAGCGCTTTGACTGCTCTGAGAAGAATTTGGTCGCTTGGTGGCTCTGCAAGATGTTCCCCTCCAGGTATTTATTCCCTCTTCTTTGAGCAGTGGGTGCTACTAACTTGCTCTAGCCACCTCCCCAAAGGCAAGCTCTGCTACCAGGCAAGTTACAGCCACCTCTTCTCCTGACTCTGTGCCCCTTTAGGAAAAACTGTCTTGAGGTCTGGATTAGTAAAGTAGATAAATCATCAACATGTGTGCTATATTAACTCTTATACTGGGGGGGGGGGGATATGTTTGACCTCACAAAGTTTTTCTCAGGATTCTGAGACACTTGGCATTTAATTACTTGCAGACTGTGAAGCACTTAATAAAGCTGTTTATCAGTAATGTATTGCCCAGCCCTTGAAAATCTGGACCAAATGTATTTCGAAAGAAACTATAAGCCAGGTCCATGCAATCAAGAGGCACTCTGCTGTGGAAGATTGGTAGACAGGCTCAATCTGTATGTGTGTGCATCAGCCGTTTTCCAGAGCTCAGAAGGTTTGTTTTTATCAGATTTTTAAAATGATTCATGACTTCTTTCCTACCCCTGAGATTTTGCAGCATTGATATAAAGCTTCTGTCCAATCATATGTCACTAAGAAAAGATGATGAAAATTACTGTTTTCTTTAAAGCATGTATACTTGGACATAGCAGTGTGAATGACCGAACCTAATTCTCTGAATTCTTGCTTCCATTTGTTTACCTGCTGGGTGTAAGCTTGAATGCTTTCTCACTCATGAACATGTCTGTAAGGAGCTTGCAAGGTGGGATATGTGAGCTGCAGAGCAGCCAAGTCTTCTCTGCTTACTGCAACTACAGGGTATGGTGAGGAGTGAGACAGGTGGACTCTCTGGCTCTGACTAAACCTCTGCTTCTGTGCTTTCTCCCACTGAAATTAATACTTTTTGCCTCACATCCTCACACCTGCCATGTGCTGACCCTGAACATGGATCAGTTGGTAGTGGTACATGTGCATCCTGTTTAGTCCAGCCCTCAGACCTCTCTGAAACCTCCCATCTCTGTGTGCAATCACAGTTCTGAAAGAAGGATAACAGCTAGATGTCTTAAATAACAGATGAAGAGCCTGAAGTATAGGACCCTCCAGTTGGTATGCAGACCTGGCTGCAAATTAGTGCGTCAATTCTGCCTTTGCTAGAAAAAGCCTTGGGAATGTGCCATCCCATCCCACTGAAATGCAGCTTGAGTGAAATTACCTGCAGGTTCAGTTAAGCGAATACACTAACTTTTTTAAATGACAGCAAGGTCTAGCTGTGCAGTTCAGGATAGCCTTGAACTTACTACAGAGCCTACTGGCCCTTGAACTCAAGGAGATCTTCCTGCCTCAGCATCTTGAGTGCTTGGGTTACAGGCATGAACTACTATGCCCAGCTATATCAATTTTTGTAATAGTAGAGGAAGGATAAGGAATGTTGATAATGTTATCTGTTGAATGCTTCACTGCATATGGCAGGTTCTGTTTTGATTGCTTTAACATATATAACTCATGTAGTCAACCCAGTAACTATAGTCTTATGTGTCATTCCCATTTTGTGAATAGGGAAACTGAGGACTGGGGAGATAGCTCGGCGGTCTAAGCACCAGCCTGGCAAGTGCAAGGTCCTGAGTTCCAATGCTGGTACTGCATGCTGTGATGGCCTCAGAATCATGGGTGCGCCATGAGTCATGAAATCAGGCGTGGTGGTGCACTCCTGTAATCCCAGGGCTGGGGAGGCTGAGACAGGAGGATCAGTACAAGTGTAAACTGCATAGTGAGGGGCTGGAGAGATGGCTCAGTGGAATAAGCATTTGCCTGGCAAGCGCAAGGGCCTGAGTTCAATCCCTGGTTCTGCCCAAAAAATAAAATAAAAATAAACAAACTGTGTAGCAAGACCCTGTACCAAATAAATACTTTTTTTTTTTGAAAAATAGGGAAACTGAGACGTAAAGAAGTTAACCAAATAAAGTGGTGCCAGGATTGAGACATGCTCTTAATCTGTTTGTCAGATAGTGATAACATCTTTCATGGGGGCAGAGATTATTTATCTGAAGTTGGAGGGGATCCTTTATTCTTAAATTTTCATGGAACAGTCTGTAGCATTTATTTTTTTAAATATAGATTCCCAAATAAAATTTGTGATTTAAATTGCTCTTAAATTTTAAAAGAATGGGTGTTTTTGGACCTTGTGCATATGACCTTACTGCTTTTACGTGTGAGAGACGATGCATCTTTGTTCTGTCAAGTTCCTGGAGAATGTTTTTTACATTTCATTTGCATTTTTTGTGAAGAATATTGTTTCATTTCTTCTTCAAGTTTCTGGTGAACCTACTTGATACATGTAGCTCAGGTAGCCTAAAAAAAGGCTGCTGTTTAAGAGAATGAAAGCAGCAATTATAGATAAAGCCAGTTAAGAGAAATGGGATGGTTCTGTTGTATTCCCAGGGTGATGGTAACTATAAAGTTTCTCGCATCCTTCAAATGTAGAAAGTAAGGTTTTTCTGGTTTCCACTACACATTAGCAAGTGAAAAGAGTAATTTTGTCCCAGAATTTTGGGGCAATGAAGAGGAAATAGGAAATAGAACCTACGGCCAGAAAAAAGGGTAGAATGGCTCCAGACAGCCAGGCAAGACTTTGGGGATTACGTAAAAGGGGGCTGCTTCAGCAAAGACCTATTACAGGTTTTAGAACTTAAAAACATTTGAGAATAAACTGCTCTGGGAGTTTGACAGACAGGTAACTTAATTCGGGGTGAATTATAAAGATTATAGTCAGCACCTGTGTTTTAGATGTAATTAGAATGGACAATATTTATAGAATTTAGTACATTATAAAAGATACTTTAAAGACTTGTACAAAGGGCTTTATTTTAAAGTTGAAAGTTGTTTAAAATTTTCTTAAGTTTTGGCTTTATGTTTAGCTATTTAAATTTTTGGGGGCTGGGGAGATGGCTCAGTAGAATAAGCGCTTCCCTGGCAAGCACAAGGGCCTGAGTACAATCCCCAGTTCCACCAAAAAAAAAAAAAAAAAAAATGTGAATATCTCTAGTTGTAAATTGTGGTAACACTTTGGGTAGCTGCAACTTAGAGAAAACTCCTTACCTTTTACTTCAGCCTGGTTCTTTCCTAATGTCCTTCTGGTACCTGGAGACAACATACCTAAAGTGAATTGCTCATTCTAAGAAGTTAAAAAAGGGAAAGATATATTCAAGAAGAAGAAATCAAAAGTCCAGTTTTCTTTTCTTCTTATTGGGTAAAGATGTCCTGTGAAATTATGAAAGTCAGACTGGGGATGCTGTGCAGTAACATCCACATGAGGAAGAAAGGCAATTAGAGTGTGTTATTGATCTGCCAAATGAAAGCCACATTATAAGTCAGACCTGGAACTGAAGAAATTTTGTCAGAGTCCTAGTTCTGCCACCAGCTAATTGGACAACCTTGGGAAAGTGTTAAAGGCTTGGGTCTCTCATCTTGTAAAATAAGTCAAAATTCCTAGCATGCTTGACCTAAATGTGCTGAAAGAAAGGCGATTTGCAAGCTAATTATGGTACTTTATAAGTATATTGATATTGTTATTGCCCATTGATACCTATTAGGTAGTTCTATTAATTTTCTGAGTTGAATATCAAAACTGATAAAATCTTTATGGGATTTTTTTGTATGGATATTTTTTCATATTTACTAACAACAGGAGGGATATATTTTAGGAGAATTTTTTTTAATGTATTTTGTACAGAGTTTCATCACACAGCTTGGATGCATAGTAATCCTTCAGCTGTAAATTCCCTCAACACAGAATTTACAGGCCTGCACCACAGTCTCTGTGGCCTCTCAGTGCGCCTGCGGGCAGGGCTGGGCATGACATGTAGTGCCAGGAATCGAACCCCGGTTCCTGCACTTGCCTAGGCAGGTGCTTAGTCTGCTGAGCTATCTTGCCAGCCTTGAAATGTATTTTGTTAAGCTCCTTTTGAGAATACTATCTTAGGTTTTGCTTCTCTTAGATAGTTGACCTCTGAATTGATTTCTGCTTTGGAGCTCTGAGACAGGATTAAAACTCTTTGTAAAATGATGTCTATTTTGGTTGTACACTTGGTTTATAAGGTATAACATTCAAGGCATGAAGTGATTTTGATCCAAAAACTGATGTTTAAAAACAATTCTAAACCTAATTTTTCTAAACCTAAGTTTTGCCTATGGAACATTTGCTCTTTCGTGGGAATAGGGTCTGCAGTCTTTTTTCTTTTATCTTTTTTTTTTTTTTTCTTTTTAATTTATCAGTATGTGTTTGCCCTACGTGAATGCTGGTACAAATGACCAATTTGTGTATGATACTAGTCTCTGCAATGTACTGGTTATATGTATGA